GTAGGGAAAAAAAAGCCAGAAAAATAACTTGCACATTTGAAGACTACTTTTCTTCCCTGAGAGGTTCCTATAGAGGGCACTTTAATCTTACGGTAGGATGCACACTAGGTCATGAGTCTGATGTCAGTTCCACTGAAGTGGATGGGCATGTTGTCTGGCTGAAAAGTGCCCCCATTTCCAACCTTGCACACACGAGATGTTGATCTTCCCGGAGGATAAATTAACTACCGGCAAATTTTCTTGAAAGTTTTCTTGAAAGATTGAGAAAGTGCATTTCACTGCAGCAAGTGAAAACCTGGTGTTCTTTTTTATTGTTTCCTTTAATACTTCCCTCTATATTAGGTGTGGTCTCAGTTCCTGCTGTGAACCATGAAGTAGCACAGCTTCACACATCTTTGAATTGGGCTCTTGTTTGCTTTTGAGCTTGTATCCTTGCTCTTTTCATTTCCCTCCATCTCTAGATATCCATTGTCAGCATTTTCAAGGCAAAACACAGACAATAGACACAAAGCAGGAACTATTTGTTTAGGTCCGGAGAAAAGTGGGTAGTATTGAGGAAAGCAGTTAACTTCGTGCTACTGGGTTGTGTGCTGCAAAGTATACTGCTTTGTAACAAAGCTTATGAGCCTTTTAAAAACCTGAGAAAGCAACTGGTCCCACTCTGCTGGAAAACAGAATGCAGGAGCTAGGGAAGAGCTGAGGAATCCCGGCTCTGGGATTTATACAGGCTGGGATCCAATCTCATTCGGAGGAGCAGGAATAGACAATCACAGAGGAAACTGGGAGTCAATACATAACAAGATCGATAGGATTTATGGGGTCTTTCTCATAGTGAAGGGCCAATCCAGTAGTTGAGGTTATGTCCATGAAGGACAGTTAATGGATTTTTCTGTTTGATAGTTTGTTCTTTTCTTTTTCTTTATTTACATAAGGTGAAGTTACCAAGCTGTGGCACTTAGCTGCCTGCCTTAGAAGAGAATCAGACTGGAACGAACCGTCATCCCACTGAACGTGTGAACACACTTAACATTAGCAGTGTTATCAATATCAGCTGTTCAAAGATGATGGATTAGGTCCTTAAAGTTTTGTGATACTGGTTTAAAAGTCATGTGATATCAAAACATAGTACATTTTGGATACTTCATATCTAGCTTCTTAGCCTTTATCCCTCTTGGTTACCCAGGAGGTTGGATGAGGTGTCCTCCCTAGGTCCCTTCCACCCTGAGAGAGCCTTTCAAAAATCACAAGGGGTAGAAATCCTATAGCTTTAAAGTGTCTTCTGAGGTAATTTCTAATATTCTCTACTATTTAAAAAACTGCAATTGAAAATAAAACATCAAGAATCATAATGATGTCGGAAGTCCTTGGTTGTAACAAAATAAAACCTAAACATAGAATAATTTTGCCTAGCTTCTTTGGATGAAATACATTGCGCATCTGTTTTTCTTAAAGAATGACAGTTCAGATAACAGACATCTCTCCTGACATACTTTTTGTCATTGGTCAAATTCTGGTGTACCTAAGCCAGCAAGCAGTCCTTAAAGCCACCTGCACGCTCACCAGGATATGCTCAGAGGAGTAGGTGTTCTGCATCACCATGCAATTTTGGCCATGAGAGCTAAGACCTGACTTTCTTCAGAGGTGATCACTTCTAACTCCACGGTGAACTGTGAACTGGCTACTTTATGCAAGGGAAAGGAGACCACCCTCCGAGTTTTTCTTTCCTCTAAAGTTGGCAGCAATTAAGTAGCCATTTCCTCAGCTTTTTGACACAGGGACTGGCCTGGTTGTTCTGCTTTTAATGAAACTCTTGTGGTTTAAAGGATATCCGTAGTACGGACCTGTAAAGACAAGGACAGGGCGAAGTCAGAAGAACTTTACAAATAAGAAGTTCTGGGCAGCCCTGTGATCATTCCCAAGCTAGTCTGTGCTATGAGCTGTTGTAAAGGCATCTCGAGTTTTATTATGCCTAACCTGCAGAAGGCTTCTTCCTGGCAATGGCTCTTGGTGCCAGATCCACCAGGAAGCGTAGTCTTTTCAGAACTGTTTAGAATTCACAAGACTTAGTTTTGTTTATTGAAAGTACAGCCTCGGTCTCAGCTGCTTTAAATTTGCCATTTGCTGCAGAATTTGTTAAAAGGGTGGCACTGGGAGAGCAAAAACTCAGATTCATGAGATGTTTGTAGGAGCCTTTGATCTCAAAATCCTTCTGCTCCAAACACAGTGGTAACATAGCAATGAGAACGTTTTGTTCTTTAGGAGACTCATGAATATTGGGGTGTCATTCCGACTCTTGCGCATCCGTGCAGTGTAATATTACGGGCTTAACACCAAGCGCAGTAAAGTTCACTAAAGTCTCGCCATCACCGTCAGTGGGTTTGGGATTAGGCCACACAGGTGCAGGCAGCTCATCCTGAGCACAGACAAGCAGGATGAAATAAAGGATAACTGTAGCAGTGGCTGTATCTGCACAGGGAAAGGTAGTCAGTATGAAACCACAGGAAGCTTATTAAAACCTTGTCATATGTTGGTAATGAAAACATATTGGGCTAATGTAAAAACGCAAATAGAGTCAGCGGAGCAGAGTTAATCCCTTAAAAAAGTATTAAATATTTTTAAAAATAATTTTTGGCTCTACGTTCTGACCGTGTTTGCTTTCCTCAAATATTTTAGCCAACAGGTTTACTCACAGAAGTATTCACGTAAGTATTCAAAGAGGGCACCGGAGGAGCGGGGGGAAGGCGAAAGGGAAGGCAGGGCGCACGCCGCCCTCCCTCCACGCCGCCTTCTCCTCGGGGGCTTCTCCTCAGACCTGCTCTGGCTAAAACGCAGCGGCACGGCGGGAGAGCAGGCCAGGGCCCGGCAGGCGCCCGCCGGGGCAGGGCAGCGCGCGG